GCCGCCGCCCCCAACAACGCCCACATAATTTTATAAACTCTGCTAAAGCTAAAGTTTTGCAAGTGTCGAAAGTTGTAAAAGTTAAAAAAGGGCAGCTCAAATTTAACGAAATTCTATTGTTTTACGACTACACTACAGCTGGCAAAGTTTTGACTAACAGACGATTTAGTTTTGTAAATCTTTGACTAATTTATGCCGCATTATGAGCATCAAATTGCCAAAATAAAAAGCTACATATTAAATGAAATGGCGTAGTCAGCAAATAGACATATTGAGCTGTGGCAGAACTTAATAATTCAACACTTATGCAGAAGTGAAGGGCTTTTAAGAGTTGTTCTACTAGTTATGTAGAGTATATAGATGCTTGTTTCATATCCTTTTATCCGTTTCTTAGTTCTGTGTGCAAACTAGTTCCTCAACTTCAATGCATGACATTGATACATAATTATGGTGGATCGTAATACTATAACATATAGCTGATATGAGTATAATTGGATGAAAACCCGTTTTTTAAATTAAAAGAACTCGTCTTCAATCTTTTCAACAACGACTCTTTTTATGTTCCTTATATTTCAGTTTAAGTTTATTGATATCGGAGTAAGGAAAACGTTTTTATTCCTAAAGAACTCAACTTCCATTTATTCAACTACGAGTCCTATTATGCTCTTTCAGACAAGACTTATTCATATTGAACTAAAAGTCAAAAGACTTTAACGAACCTTCTTAAAATATCTCAAATAAGACTGACGCAAGCGAATACTAAGTTTGGTATTACACAATCTTAAAGGAATCACAAAAAAATAAGGACACACAAAAAGTGCAATATACGTTGCTGCTCGCAATTTTCAATTAACAAATCTTGCTGGCCAGTTGGCCAACTTGTTTAAAAAAAAAAGCAACAAACCAAATTGATGATGAACAAACATTTCTGCGCCCCTCACATCAAGGCGGGAACATTTCGCCAAGCGTCGTCAACTGAATCGGAAAAAGTTCTCGCATTTACTTGCGTATTTCGTTTTTTCTTTCCCAATTGCAATTGCAGCTGCCATTGCAGTTAATTTGTAGCGAACACATTTTTAATTTGGGCAGCCAGCGGGCCGGATGCGCCACACCAGAAATTGGCCAGCGACCAAGTCAGCAACAAGAAGCAACCCTTTTTGGCAGCACAACAGGCCAGGCCAGGACACGCCCCAGCCCGGAAATGGCACAGGATGCGTAGCCGCAGTTTGTCCGTGTGCAGCGCCGTTTTTGTGCCCGGTAATTTGGCTAAAAGACTTTCGCTTATTTAGCGCCAAAATGCGTTTTCCGTTTTTGTTTTTTTAACACACATTTAATTGTGAACATAAATTAGCATAAATTTCATATTTATATCTTTAGTACTTGGGCGCGGCAAATGCAACATTTTTTTTTTTTTTTTGGGTTTTTTGGCAGTTGTTGCGGGCGCGATTTGAAAAGAAATTGAATTTTAATTAAATGCAAAAGTCAGAAGGAAAAAGCCAGTTACGCCCATCAATCAAAAAGGCGTTCTGTGCTCAAGGCCCGTACCGTTTTCTCACTCATTAAAAGCCAGCAGGCAACAGTCAACACAGAAGAAAAGGATAAGCGGAATACAAAAAAAAACAAAAAAACAGAGAAGAAAATGTAGCAGCAACACGAAACGGAACAGGACACCCAGGAAGACGTGCTAAGCCCACGGCAAGATTAATTAAGTCCGCGCAGGCAAAAACAGCTTCAGCAGCAGCAGCAACAAACACGTTAAAGTGCTCAGGTCGGCAGTGAGCGACTGACAGATACCCTGTTAGCATGCATACCCACTTATAACGAACAGATCAAAGTTTTGTGCAACAAAAAAGTCTTGCTGCGAAAATTTATGTGTTTATCTACGATTTTTATAAGAAGTTCGAGAGATATAGAGTGATAGATATAGCTCTATATTGCGCATACAAGGCATCTAGAATTTACCTATATATATATGTATATTAAATTTTCATTTTTAGATCTATTCAAAAGTCATCATGAGATTTACAGCTTGATTTTTTTTGGGAAATTTGCTTACAAAATTGTCTAGCTGCAGCTCTACAAAGTATGAAAGATATTCTCAAAAAGGCGACTGTAAATCGATAAATATTGGGCTATTCAAAGTATGCAATAAAGTGCGAGCAGAACAGGCTATAGCAAAAATCAATATATATTATTCCGATTTCTAAAATATTCTCCCATTGCATTAAAATAAATAAGTGAATGATTTGCTAAGCTTAGTTCGCATACGCTGTCTGCTAGCGGATATACCCGCTTTATGCATTTCTAATAAGTAGTGGGTATAACAAGCAAGCAAGCAAACAAACAAACAAACAAAGGCAACTCGAGTCACTGCGGCAGCGGATGTTGCGAGGCGTCGTGACGTCGCCTTGCCAAGTGCGTGTTAATGTTTCGTTCGCACTCTTTTCGTTGCCTACTTTTAGGCGTCGCGTGAAAAATTAAAATTTCAAAGCGCCACAACAACTGCGGCGACTGCAGCGCGTACGCGTGTGCTTGTGTGTGTGTGCGTGTGTGTATGCGTGTATTTGTTTTGTATTTGCTCTGGCGCGAAATACAAAAGCAACAACAAACAAACATAAACAAAAGCAAATAAGCAGGAAGCCTCGACGTTTCCCACTCGTAATAAGCATATTTTAAGTGAGCCTAACGCGCGGCATCAACAATGCTAAGGGATATGACCCCACCCGCACCCACACACACACACACACACGCACACATACACCCAGCCACCCTCTGACAACCTGCTTACAGCTTCTCATAAACATAAACCGTAGAAATGCTGAACAGTGACTGTGATCACGACTTACGTGGGCTTTAGTTTATATTCTAAAAAAAAACATTATTGTTTTTTTTTTTATAAAGGAGCATAAAAACTGTCAGCTATTTTTTATACCTACCGAAAAAGTGTTTTTTATTGAGAAAATTCTCTATAGTTTTATTTCACTTTACGCTTATTAAAGCATGTTTTTTTTATGATTGTTTTTATTAGTATTCTTTTTTTTGTAATGTGAATTTTTATTAGAACCAAAAAGAAAAGTGTATTTCTACTGAACAAAGAAAGTATTTGCTTAATTTAAGAGAAAAATTCAAACTCAAATTGAAGATAAATAGATGTAGAACAAGAATTGTACAATTTGCTTTTTTTTGGTAATATGTATTTCCTACTAAAACCAAGAATGTTTTTATTATTTTCAAGATAAATTTCAAAAAAATGTATTCTCAACTTGAGTATTGCACTTCGCTCAGAAAAGAATTTATATATTTTATTTTATTTAATTTATTTAAATTTTTACTTGTTTTATCTGAGAAATGTGCACAATTCAAGTAGTTTATTCCACAGTTATGCAGTTTATTTTTTCTTTACTTTCGCTTATAAAGAATGCTTTTAAAGTGATTTTTTTGGCATCCCTGGGACAAACACTTGCCCAGCCCTGCGTCTGCTAATGAGCTTCCAATCTTAAGCATAATAGAGCTCATCCTGCCTCCTGCAAGCAGAAGTAATTGAGCGCTTGAGACAGCGCTAAGAGCGCACATTAGTTGTACAATTGATACAATTTGTGCTCAATGAAAACCACTTAAATGACAAAATTATAGCAATTGATAAAAATAAATAAATAAAATCGCTGCTGAAAGGATAATGCGCACTTGACATGCGACTGGCTTGGCTCGGCTTGGCTTGGCTACCCAGTTGATTGTCAGCACATTTTGCCCGGCTGGGCACTCATGCAAAATGGCCGGCGCTGAGCTTGCCCTTATCCCTATTTTCATCGGTGTGCGTGTGTGTCTATAGACATCGGCATTTCCGGCTGCCAGCCTAGCGGCTCCAATTAGCCCTTAAATGGATTTGTGTAACACATTTGGGACAGCCACAAATACGTTCGCCCCGGAGATTTGTGGCTGTTACGCCCCGCCCCCGCTCAAAATTTACATTGCTTGCAGAATTTATTGTGGCAACATTCCATTTCAGTTCTAGATTCAGTACCCAGCCTCGTTTTTGGCCCATTGTCGCGCCGTCGCCGTCGCTGGCGTCGGACAGCGACATTAAAAAGGACACATACATTTCATTTTAATATCCCTTTTCGGTCGGAACGAATGCGACACAATACACATTCCCAATGCTGCTCCACTGCGTCTCAGAGGGTGAAGGAGGGAGAGTGGAGGGGGGGATGATCATTCGGACGGTTCGCTGTTTCTTGTTGCTTCTGTTATTCCGATGTGCCAGAGCATTAAGCGTTGAAATATTTATGAGCTGTGCACGCACGCACACACACACACACACACACACACACACACACATACACGCACACACGAGTGTAAAGCAAATGTGTGTGCGTGTCCTTAATGAGTGTTTGCATTGTGCCAAAAATCTGCATTTAAGGCGGCTTTAAGTCTTAATGGGACATGTGCAATGCACACGCAGACAGGCTTTCGTCAGAAAAATAATTGGCAACATTTTTGTAGCATACTTTTAAGGGCAGCACTTAAAATTAAAGTCCAACGCAAATTTAATCACAACATCTAGAGGCAATCACTACACAGTGGAAAACAATTGATTAAGATAAATTAAATCTAAGAGTTATTTTAAAAAATATAAATACACTCTCGCTTTTCTCACTTTTTTAATGGGTAAATATGTTTGTTTGAAAAAATTGTGAAGCTAAAAAATATTAATTACAGCCCATTTAAGTTTGAAGTTAAGCTTTATAAGCTATATAAACCTTAAAACAAATGATTAATGAAAGATTTCTAAAATCGAAAAATAAAAGTAAAACTGTATCAAAAAAATTTTTAAAAAATGCCTTAGCCTGAGAAAAAGACGGTGGGCCAAAGACAATCATTTCCTCTTTCAATCCCAAAGCTTGCAAACTAAAATTGCTTGAGTTAAGCATAAATCGCACTTAATTTCAGACAAGTTCTCTATATTAGTTACTTATTTGCCTCTCACTTTCTTCTCTTTGCAGTTAAGCAATAGCCAATCGACCAGGAGAAGAAATCAACCCCAAGCACAGACACGCACACACATCCGCACACACACACACTTGCACACATAGAGAGCAGCAGCATGGATCTGCCGTCGATGGTGCAGCGCTCCGGCGATACGCTAATCGTACGCAGCGTGGTGAGCGGCAATCAGCTTTACATGGAGCAGGGCCACAAAGGTGGCAACAGCAGCAACAGCAACGAATCCCCACCGCTGGACACGCAGACATCGGCATCGCCGCCGGTGGCAAGTGCGCTGGAGCAGCAGCTGGAAAGATATCGGCTGCAGCAGCTGTTGCAGCAACAGCAGCAGCAGCAACAGCAGCAACAACAGGCGGCAGTTGCAGCAGCTGCCGTTGTCAACAGCGTACAACAGCAGCAACAACAACAACAACAACAACAGCAGCAGCAACAGCACGTGGTGCTCTCGCTGGATGCCAAGGAGGAGGGATTGCCGCAGTGCAAGATCAAGCGGAATTACAGCTGCAACCATTGCGCGTACTTCACGCAGAATCCGCGCTACCATTTGACGCATCTGCGCGACGTGCACGGCGAGAAAATTGTGATAAATAAGTGCAAGTTGTGCCTGTATGCTTCCCGCCACTTCCAGAAGCTGGTGCGCCACATGAAGATGGTGCACGGCTGCACCGATGGCATACCCAGCGGACATGGGCAGGCGCGCGGCAAGCGCGGCATGAGCCGTGAGGCGCGCAAGCGACGACTAGAGGAGAGCGTCGGCGTTATGGGCGGCCAGTCGCTGACCATGTCTGTGCCGGACGTGCCCACGCTGGAGCAGGTGAAGCGTGAGCTGCAGCTGCAGGAGCAGAAGCTGCACCGCGGCATCGAGGCCTACATGCAGCGACAGCGCGAGGAGCAGCAGCAGCGCGAACAGCAGCTGGAGCTGGTGTCCAGCTATGGCCGACAGCTGCAGGCCAGTCTGCGGGATCTGGACCAGCATGAGCCGTACGAGCGTCAGTCGTCGCCAGCGGAACCACCGACGCCCTCGCCCAGCGGCTCGGCAACGCCGCCGCCGGCGCTCTCGGGCGGCGAGGAGCCACAGAATCGTCTGCTCAAATGCAGCGCCTGCGAGTACACCACACTCTATCGCACCCAGCTGCGCGCCCATGAGCTGGCCGAGCATGGCAAGACCAAGTTCTTCCGCTGCGACAAGTGCAGCTATGTGACGCACATCAAGGCGCGCTTCAGCAAGCACGTCAAATACCATTCGATGCCAATGATCAAGTGCGTCACCTGCGACTTTCGCACACCCTACAAATGGAATCTGGACAGGCACATGAAGAACCATGGAGGCGCTGGCGCCTTCAAGTGCGCCGCCTGCGACTTTACGGCCGACATCAAACAGTCGCTGACCGTCCACGAGATGAACCATCATGTGCCGCCCGTCGGCAATGCCGGCTCCATTTGGCCGCGTCGCCAGAACAAGGTCGGCGCCAGCGAAATGTGCGATGATTTCCTCAGCGATTCCGCCGAGTTGGAGGATCAATATAATAACAACAACCTGGATGATGATCTGGAGGATGGCGACGGCGGCGCCTTGAGCGGTGAGGAGCACTATGGCAAGCGCAGCAAGTACGAGGATGATGAGGAGCCCACCGATCTATCGCAAAAAGGTGGCTGCTCCTCGGACACGTCCAGCGTTGGCACAGCCACGCCACGTGCCCTGCGACCGGTGCCCAATCTGATACCCATCGCAAAGAGCTCGAAGGAGTAAGTAGAAACCAGAAATTATAGCCGTAATGGGGGTGACTATAAACTATGGGGTGACCATAACTTATGGGTTGAGGCCTAAAAGGAAGTTTCAGGAAAAGTCCAAAAACGGATATAGACAGAAAGAATGTTGTTAATTGGGTTTTCTAAATTTTAACAATTTTCGGATTTTTAAAAAAATCCACACAATTGCGTGAAAAATGGGTGAAATATAGCCTAAGCGAAAAGCAAGATAAGGTATAGGAAAAATTCCTCACAGTTATATTATGGAAAAAGGGTGAACATTTTTTTTTTCACTCCCTTTCGGTAAAATTATGTGGAAAATTGTTTAAGAATTGTTCGATAATCCACACAATTGTGTGGAAAAGGAGTGAATTATCGTCGAAACCATATATAACTTATTTATTGATTGTGAAAAAGTCATCGAAAGACTTTTAACATTCCAAGCCCCCCTCTAATGGAATTCCCACCTTGTACCTCTTTCAATTTGCAGCGCGCTAAACCTATCCAAGGATACAAACGCCTCACGAAGTGTCCTCACAGGGATCGCCTCGATGTTCTTCAACGATAAGCAAATCTCCGAGATGCTGGACAAGTCGGATGTGCCGCAGCTGTCGCCGGCAACGACCATTGCCTCGATGGCCTCCTCGCGCAGTCTGTTGACCAAGAAGGGCGGCTCCTTCTTCGACAAGCTGAAGACGGGCGCCCAGCATGATAATCTGATCTGTCAGTGCGGTCATGTGGCCAAATGTCTATCCGAATCGATAATACATGGCAAGAGCTGTCAGTCCTCGGCCGTTGTCGTGGACGAAGACGATGTGGCGCTGCATGAAGATGATGCCGACGATCGCCTGGAGATCGACGAAGACGACGAAGATCGTCAGTCGCACTCGGCGCTTAATTTGAGCGTCTCCGGCTCCACACGCTGCCAGCACTGTCGCCATCGCTGCAAATCGTCCACCGATCTGCTGCATCATTTGACCCAGTGCGCGGAAGCCATACGCTGTGCGAACGAGATGTACGATTCGAATTCCGGCGAGAGCGGTGATCGTCGCAGCGATGCGCATTCGCTGCAGCAGCAGGCGGCTGTGCAGCAGCAACGGGTTTGCATTTGGAACAAGGCGGCCAAGGAGCGGGCCGCTGCCGTAGTGCAGCAGGATAAGGTCAGCCTAATGACAAAATCGCCGGGCAGCCAAGCGGCGAGCAACGAAGAGAACAGCTACTACGGAGTGGAAACAGCGCCCGGTTACGGTGAGGTAAGTGCGCCAGATCCAAATCACAGCAACAACAAATCCGATACATACACACATCCCACACACACACACACACACACACACACACGTACACACACAAATACACAATGCAACCCGCGCACGAAAAATGCGTCAAAATGAAATTTGACTCTCTCATGCACTGCAGGTAACCAAAAAGATGACGCCCGAGGAAGAGGCCGCCAACTCGTCCCTGAAAAAGGTCTACAAGTGTCCGCATTGCAGTTTCTGGGCATCGACAGCATCGCGTTTCCATGTCCACATTGTTGGCCACCTCAATAAGAAGCCATTCGAGTGCTCGCTCTGCTCATATCGCTCCAACTGGCGCTGGGACATTACCAAGCATATACGCCTGAAGACCATACGCGATCCCTCGCACAAGACCGCCAAGGTGCTGATGAACGATGAGACCGGGCGGCGCAACTATACCAAGTATAACAAGTACATAACCCTAATGAAGGTCACCGAGGAGGATGGTGATCCCAAGCTAATGAAATCCGGCGAGATGACGCCCAATCAGGTCGCCTCGTTGGCCTTCCTGAAGGACTACCAGAAGGTGGGCGTGGGCGTTGGCACGGGCCATGACATTACCCTCGAGCCGGTGTCGCCAAACAAATCCAATGCCCTGGACGATGCACAGCTGGCGGATAATCTCATACGCTTGCCGCTGCTGGCGACCATGATGAACGCGGCGATGGCCACACAGCAGCATCACCAGCATCAGCAACTGGAACAGCAGCAGCAACAGGAGCAGCAGCAGCAGCAGCAGCATCATTCGGCCATGATAACGCCATCGGTGACCATATCGCCAGTGAAACGCACACATCAAGCGCCGCCCGGCAAGCCCACCGACGATCTCATCACTGAGGTGCATCAGGAGGGCAGCGAGAAGAAGACCTTCTACAGATGTCGCAAGTGTAACTTCAGGTGAGTCCGCTAGCCACAGAGATTGCTCTCAGATTTTACCTCCAATGATGAACTTTCTCAGACATCACAATCGGGATGCGGTGCTGGCCCATGTCAAGATACACTATCAGGAGTCGAGTTTTCCCAAGTCCAGCTCTTCGGTGAGCAGCACCTCGCCGCTGCAGGTTTCCGTTAGCTCCAATCAGCAGCTCTACATGAACAAAGTATTCGCCGCGATGTGCCTGTCGCAGCCCTCTCCCACAGCGGGCAGCACCTCAGCCTCAGCTGTTGGCGGCCAGCAGCAGCAGCAGCAACATTCCATCATCTCGGCGGGCCTGCTGCAGCGTGCCATACAAGAGGCACAGCATTCGCCGACGCCCAATGCCAGTGCACTGAGCGGCCTGGCACTGGCGCTAGCCACCGGCAAGTGTCCGCCGGGCACAACGACAACAGCGACATCGACGAACAGTTTGCCCAAAGCCAATGCCGCCTCCATTTTAGAGCACGGTGAGCAGAAAGCGAGTCAAAACGAGGCAAGTGCCGACAGTCTGACGTCGCCCACAATCACCAGCACAGCCAGATCGCTACAAGATCTGCTAACATCACCACGAACCAGACACGGTCTACACTATGGTGCGGGTGCTTCGTCATCAACAACAACAGCGACAGCTGGCGCCGGCCTTGTGGCCACTAATCCTAATGCTAACAGTAACTCAATTGTGGTTATGGGTACCGGCAACAACACCGGATATAGGCTGGAGACGGCTGGCCACAAGAAATCATCGAGCGTCGCCGACTATGTCGCGTCATCCAATACACCCACCACCACCAATACATCGCCTATGCCAGTAACTACCACTCCTACTCCTATTTCTACTACTACTACTTTTCCAACTGGTGCTAAGTCCTCTTTGGTTCATACACTGGGTACTGGTAATAATAACAACAACCACAACAACAACAGCACATCCCACAATCTCACCGACACTCATGCCCATAACCAACTCATCGCTGGTGATGGTTACTATACAATGGCATCGGGTTTAAACCATGCCATAACTGCTACTAATATAAAATCCACGCCAGCCTCGTCCATGTCGTCGTCGTCTTCGTCGTCGCTGCTATTATCGGCATCGGCATCGGCATCGGCATCGTCCTCATCAGCATCGCCGGCGTCTGTTGCGTCATCGCCGCACTCGTCGCCGCCATCCTCAACGTCGTATATGCCACAGAGCATGCCCGGCCAGGCGACACGTTTCCATAGCCATAGTCCAGGTAGTCCCAATCTGTTAACGATGAACGATGCCGATCGGCGAGATCCGTCGCCATATCGTTGTGGCCACTGCCATCAGGTGTCGAATTGGAAGCATGTGATCCAGGTATTTGTTTAAATGCATTTTACAGTTTGTGTTTTGTCCCATTCAAAACGAAACGAGTCCCAAACAAAAAAAAAATAAAACCCAAAATAAAAACCGCTATTCGCAAACAACCCAACCAGAGATCCGTCCGTAATGTGTTTGACGCTTGCCAACACTGACAAAAAGAATAGTATGATATATTTTTTTAATATTCTCAATACTGAATGGGCAGCACTGGCGACTTAAAGTCCAAGCCCATATTATTTCATATCTTATCTGTGCTGATCTTCAAAGAGATTTGAAGAATCGTATGCATGAGAAATTAAGCGTTCGAGCTTAAGTTAGATTCGGTTTTTTTTTTCATTATTTCATTAGTTAATATCCTTAATTCTTAATAGAGTTTGTGAGTGTGTTCCCAAACTGTCCGTTACTCAAGAAGGAGTTCCCAAACGTCTTCAACTAGTGACATCAGCACATATGCCCCGCCCCCTGCTCAGCAAATCATCTTTGTTTGTAGTCCCTAAGTAACGCTGGTAAATATGCAACAACAAAAAATTTATTGTAATTATTTTCTTTTATACCAATCCCTAATGCTAAATGTTAAATGTGTGGTGTCTGGGTCTTGCTTAATTTCTTCTTTTTTTTGTATGTCTTTATACGTTTACGTTTATTTATAAGAAATCATTGGTGATAGTTTTTTTGCTTGCTCTCTCCAAAACTAATGTAATGCATTTTTATCGATTCAATTCCAAACATTTTCCTAAAAAAAACTCATGCAACAAACTAAAACCCCCCACCCCCCCAAATGCAGGGGGCTATTTAAGATCATAACGGTGCGCGTGTTTCGTTTGGGTTTCCCCATCCCATACACATACACATTTTAAACAAATAAAAACATATGGAGGGTATTTACTAGTTAAAGCAACAGTAAACATTTCGTTGGGAATTTTACAGGAACAAAAATTACCCCAGTATTTTTTGTAAATTGCCCAAAAACTAAGTGGCTACTCTACAAGACTGGCCAGAGTTGCCACATCTGTTGCTTGAGCTGCTAAATATCCTCATACACACATATCCACACACACACACACACACGCAGCAAAAATGATAGATAGACAAAGAGAGACTGCATGCTAATTTTGGCATTTTTTTCGCTCTGCTTCTTCTCATCCACAGCGGCACTGTCGCTTAAAGCATTCCGGGGATATTCGGATCGAGACCCTTGAGCGCAGCAACAGCAGCAGCGCTGGCCCCAATGCGGCGCCCATTTATCGTCCACAGGGCGCCGGCGCCAGCAACGAGTCCCAGGCCCACATCAGCACCAGCAACTACAACAACAACAACAACAAGCCCGGTCAGATCAACAATAACAACAACAACAACAGCCTGAGCAGCGCCTTGCTCAGCAGCAAACAGCTGGAGCAGCTGCTGCATTCACCGCTCTCCGCGAGCGCTGCGGCCGTGGTGAATGCGGCCAATACGCAGCAGGATCTGCAAGCGGCGGCCGCCTATTGGGCCGCTGCCTGCAAAGCGGTCAGCGCCGCTGCCAGCGGCAGCGCCGAGGAGCTGCTCCAGCTGCAGCAAAACGATCAAATCGAGATCACGCGCTTGCCCTCGGCTGCCGCCGTCGCTGCCAGCAGCAGCTCGCAGGAGCTGCCCAACAACAACAATAACAACACGAAGAGCAAACAGCAAAAGTGCCCCGTCTGTCCGTACATCTCGGAGAGCAAATCCCAAATGAACTATCACGTCTCGCTGCACAAGCCCACGCAATACGAGTGCCGACTGTGCACCTTTGTGTGCGCCAAGAAGCAGCATCTGAGCAGCCACATGCGCAGCGTACATCAGCAGCAACTGGGCGCAGCAGCGGCAGCCGCCGGCGCTGGCCTCGACTTTAGCGTGGCGCTACAGCTGGCTGCGGCCAAGCAGGTGCACCAGCTGCCGACGGCTGCAGCAGCAACGCCGCTGGCCATCGACCTGAGCCAGCTGCAGCTGGAGGAGAGCAGCAATGCCGAGCTGCAGGTGCAGCAACAGCTGCCGCCGGAATACCAATACAAGCTGATTAGCTACTGTCCGCGCTGTCCGGCCCGTTTCGCCCAGAAGCACAACGATGAGCGCAACGCCAAGCTGGAGTTGGAGCAGCATTTGGCCGCGCACGCGCCCAGCGAGCTGGAGTCGGATGAGGTGCATGTGTGCGCCTACTGTGAGTATCGTGCCGGTGCCGAGACGCTGCTGCAGCTGCATCGTGCCGTGCACATGTCGCACTACCAGGAGAAGTGCCAGCAGCTGTATAGAAATTGCAAAGAGGATGTCGCATATCCGGCGCCCAAGCTGCTGCAAATAACTGGACCCGAAACCATTTGGGTGGTGGACAATGAGCTGGGCGCACAGCTGTTGCGCCAGAGCGCACTCAGTTCCTCGAGCAACAGCTACGATGGCCAGAACTCGCTCTTGAAGAAGCAACTGGAGTCGGGCGGCGTTGGTGCTTTGATTCGTGAACAGACGCCACCCAAGGCCAAGGAGGCCGAGGAGGATGAGGAGCGTCACAGCAGCTCAACGCCCTCGACCAGCGCCTCGGTGGCCACTAGCGATTTGGCCGCAGATGCCAGCAGCGATGCCGGTTCGCTGGACATGCCGCAGTCGGCGCCAACGCCACAGCGCTGCCAGCATTGTCCCTACGAGACGCTGCAGCACGAGCAGCTGGCAGAGCATATGCAGAAACATGCCTGCATCAGTCAGCCCAGCCCCGAGGCGCAGCAGTGTGCCCACTGCGACTACAATGCCGTCGAGGAGGCGGAACTGGAGGAGCACACCGCTGTGCACTTCAATGCCAGCGAGAAGCTTAAATCTGTCGACTTTTTCACCTGCTACGACAAGCTGGAGATAAGCGTGGAACAGGAACCGGAGCCGTTCGAGCAGGACGACAAGGAGCAGACGGAGCACAACAATAACCAGGACAATGTCGTCAATGCCAATGTGCAGCAGCAGGACGACGCAGAAACGGAACAGCTTCACCAGGAGCCGGTCAAGAAACCCAGCACCAAGCTCATACTCTATAAGAACGATGGCGCACTCAGCGTTAAGCCCTCCATGGAGGAGGACAGCACCACGTCGACGACGACAACGCAGCGCGCCGAGAATATCAGCGATCGCTTGAGGCGTCGCAGCTTGCGTGGAGGAGCCTTCGCTGCCACCACGTCCACCACGGCAACAACAACAACAACAACAGCTGCAGCTGCATCTGCAGCTGCGCCGGGCATAATGGAGGCAACTGATAAAATGATACTGGTCAATGCCAAGACGGGCAAAGTCATTTTCCGAAAGTAGGCGTGGCCCAAGTCACAGCTGCACCGCAAACCTTTCTTTCACTATTGTATTTTTCATAGGAGCATATAATTAATATTATTATTATTATTATTATTATTATTTTTATTATTATTATTTTTGGGGTTGTTAATGTTTTGTTGTTTTCAATTGGGTATCTAGTTAGTCGAGTTTTGTTTTAAGCACCAATTATTATTTAATTGTTACTAACAAAAACACACACACACACAGTTGACACCGTTGGAACATGTTCCTGCACCTTGAATCATATTTATAAGTTGTTCATTAACAAAACTTATTTGTTTATATTAAAAAAAAAACGTCAGCTATTATACTTTGTTATGTCTAAAACCTTAGCGCGGTGCAAAATATAAATATATAACTAAAAACGAATCAAAACTTAAATATTTAAATCGTATGATCAAAAGCATAAACAAAAGCGTTTCAAAGAAATCAAACTTGTGCATGACAAAATCAAAAAACAACAAAAAACAAAAACAAACAAATTCAAAATTAGTCTTGCTGCAAACAATTTGTTTTTGAATGGGAACTGTGATTATTGAATATTGTAAATTAAAATATATAAAAAAAAAAGAAACAAATCTCTAAATTTAATTAAAAAAAAAAAATAACAAACACGTATATCATTCAATGAATATGGTACTTTATACATAGTATATACATATTTACATCAGCTGCTATGAAATACGCAAAATTTCAAAATGAGAAATCAAATATGAAAATCTATGAAAATACTGTGTAATAATTTGCAATATTTGCAATATGATTTTGTACAACTGCAGCACAGCATTAAATAAGTACTATTTAAGTAATTAATTTCTATTTAAAGATTAATGTTTAAAATGGTTTTGTTTTACTATACATCATTATTGTTTATTGTAGCACAGTGTATCTTGTGCAAACACTATATAAAAAGAAAAAGAAAAAACAAAAAAGTTGAAAAAACGTTATCATAAAGTCTAAGGAAACGAAATGAACACATGTGGAATAGCGGGGCCATATTTAAATAGTTTAAAGCAAACATTTAAACAAACAAAAAACAATAACAGTAACAGTAACAGAAGAGTATACAGAAACTTACTTGAATATAAACGCAACCGCCTTTGATATACATATACATAATTGTATCTATATCTATATATTTAAATAGTATTTAATTATCAAATACGTCTAATTAGTTTAGTGTAAATAACTTAGTTTTGTTTACTATGCACATACAGAAACATATACATATATATATATATATGAACCCACACACATACACAGCCAACACAAATACACACATTTACGGCATAAATTTAAACAAAGAAAATGTACAAAAGAAATGTTAATAAAAAAAAATCAAAATTAATAAAAATACACAAGTTGCATTTACAAATTTTACAGCTTGTCCCTTGACTTATTTCAAAACCGCAAAAATTTCCAAGAAATTGTTCAAAAATTAGCCCAAAATGCATTTGATGAAATAATATATATATATATATACTATATAGAAAATATAAAAATGAAACCTTTAAAGATTAGACTAGACACGAAATGGGTGGTCGATTTTATTTTGTTTTCAATAAGATCTACTGTAATAAAATGTGATCAAAATGGTCAAAATTTATGCCTAGAAACCGCTGGCGTAATATTAGTAACTAATTTTAAATGATTTATTGCATTACAGCTTAGCATATTTTTACTTAAATAGAATTATTAAATGATTAAAAACATTTAAGCAATAAGCGTATTTCTTTTAGTCGAATGCATTCTTTTCGAATTTCAAAAGCGCTTTTCGAATATACTTGCAAATTTCCAACACTAGAAATTCTGTTGGTACTTTTGTAATAATACAGGGAATTTTTGCAATTCCCTGGAAAAGAAATGGGCAGCACTGGCTGCTTGGCATTAACTATTTTGAAGGTAAAGAATATATTGGATATATAGCAGGCCTTCAGATAATCTTGGTTTGCCATGCATCGAGATTCAAAATTTCTATCACATGTTGAATCCACAAATAAGTTAAATATTCATTCCAGTTTTGGTCTTCGTAGTGTGCATAACATCAAACTTTGCTGCCAAAATTCTCAATCTTTTTTGGATTTCGTTCAATTCTAGTTTTAAATTTCAAGTAAAGTGGATATGAAGTATCAACAAAAAGAAAGTGTAATAATCCATTTCATTCAAATAGAACTAGTTTAGATACGAGTCCGGCGCAAGTGCAGCACTCGGGGTACAAAGTTGGAAACAGACTAACATCTTCGAAATCCATATCTGTGGCCAACCGTCACCTCTTTCCGTAAGCGCCAAACATGTGCTGGCATCCAGGTGGCTGTTGCGGCATACCCGCAGGTATCCAGTGCACAAACTTTTGTTTCAACTACTGGACAGGCTGCGCAACCACTCCCTGCTGCCGGATCAGCTGCTCGCCTTGCTGCCCGCCGTATCGCGGCTGCTGTGGCGGTCCGCGCTGCGGGTCTTGCTAGGACAGCAACTAGCTTAGAAGGAAATGAGGCTGACGCGCCACGGGAAAACACCAACAACCTAAATTCTACCCATTTGTATGTTATTAATAGTATCAAATAAAATCTGTTTGTAACAAAGTGTAGATTTTATTTTAAAAATAGTATTCAATAAACATAAAAGAAATTGAAATGAATCTCAGCGAAGCCAGTAAAAAAATACGGAAGATAACGATAATGCGCCCAATCTGGCACATTAAAAACCTCATCGATCTTCCAAGTTCGGTGTGTCAATGAGGCCGAAAGAGACAAAATCACACTAATTGGGGTACAATTAAATGGGCGTTGCTGATTAGAAACCTAAGGTTGACTCATCGCGATCTGCACTCGCATACCACACAATTCACAACCAGAAATTGTTGATTCATAGCAAGATCGTTCATAGAAAATCTTTTTCCGTTATATTCTCAATCTAACCTAAAGTGGATATACATATATCTATTCTGTAAATATTTAAATACGTCTTATCTTTTATTTATTTTTCTGAGTGCCTTATAGCAACGCCTGAATTTAGACAGCAAATTTAGGTTTTAATAATTTTTTAGCTACACTAAATTCAAACATAAATAAATATCGACTGTTTTTGAAATAACTTCCAAATAAATTATGAATAGGTTGGCAGCGCCAACTGTTTTCTAATAGAATTAATCGATATGTCTATCGGAATGGCAATGCCAGATTTGCTCCTCAACTGATTTGTTTGCAGTAAAAATTTGTTAGGACGCGTTACACCTGCCGCACATGGATACGAAATCCAATGATGACTCTGGTGGCAGCGACTCTCTGGACAAATCAATGCAGAGGAAGTGTGTAATGGTTGAGACAACCGGCGCAACGTCGGAGCCCGCAGCGGAGGCAGATGACAGCAGCAGGGAATCCGCTGCACTGCGAGAGTCGCCACCAGGTGAACCAAAGACTGATGCGTCCGGCGCTGGTTCAAGCATTGGTGAAAGTTCAACGGCGCATAAAGGCATTAACACAACAGCAGCAAGTGCTGCGTTCGAGTCGAAAGTTAAACTCATTTCCCAAAACCTCAAAGAGACAACGCTCGCTGAGACGGAGACGGAGACGTCAACGTCAAACTCATCGACCGACATCACTGACGGTGTGGCAGATGATGTCATCGAAACGTTGGAGCAACATAGAACAGATAGCTGCGACCATCGTGTGAAAAAGGTGCGATTCCATCCAGACGTCAAAGAAAATGATGGAGGCAACCGTGTGAAAAAGAAAAGGCGCTCAGCGCGAACGAATACCGCCAATAAGATAAATATGAGCTGTGATGGCATGGATATGGACGATGAGGATGAATGCGAAGACGACGCTGACCCAGAGGAGGAGGAGGAATTCAATTTGGCGAAGACAATTGCCGAAGCGGAGGACTACTTAAAGCAGCATCCGCTGACATTTGTGAGGCGTGTCGAACAAAATGGCGAGCGGTTGCGTGATGGCCTGCTAAACATCGAGGATATGCCGCAGCTGGTGGAACGCGAGGTGAAAGCAGAGAAGAACAACGAAGACGATTTCTATAAAAAATGTAAGCCAGAGAACGGCATAGAGCGGGTATTGGGCAAGGAGACAAAGGCGGGCAAGGCAAGTATATGCATTTATTTAAAACACATCTGAATTTGCTAACTCAAAACATTTACAGGTGGAATTTCTGTTACGATACGAGAACCAAGGCGGCCTCTTTTGGGAGTCAGAGGACTACATCAGGCGCATGTGTCCAACGCTCCTAAAAGCTTATGAGAAAAACCGCGAACGGAGGCAGCAACGTCTAGTGAGTAGTTGCCCCTTGTTTTTTATCAAATTAGCTAAACTAAATGTAAATCACATTTTAGATGCATCACGTTGCCAAACGGCAGAGCCTGCGCCAGCGATACACGGATTTCTAGTAACATAAATATATATAGCTTTTAGGATTTTAATTAGGTTCCGCAAGTAATTGTAACATTTTTGTAATATGGAGTAAATGATTTTCTTTTGTTGAACGAAACTGCCAAGTATCTCGCCATCGTGAATATGGAAATATCGATAGAAGATGCGCAAGCTATCGATTTAATTTGTAGCCAATTGCATGCAATCTCATTATTTTGGTAGATAAATCGAATAACAAATTTGCTGTTTATTTTCTGCTTATGTGTTATTGATTTGTGTGGAAATTAGCTCACTTCTTGGACGTTTGCCATTCAGCCGTTTACGTAGGCACCTATTTTTATCGATAGTTGCTGTCGCTCATCGATATATCTATCTGTCGATATAACATCAACAATCCTAGTTCTAGTTTGACGGACGCAGTGTCTAAAAATTAAAAGTAGAATAAAAAAGCTGTGCAAACGTGTGCAAAATCTCGGCACACGCGGGTCCTATAACGTGATTGTGATTGTGAGCCATAAATAGTTGAAATTCTGTAGAAACCTGTAAATATTGGCTTTGCGAGGCCAAATAGAGGTGTTCTGCCAGAACAAAAGAGAAATTTTTGTGCGTGTCACCGTCCGTCATCCTCCACCCTCCTAAACGCCTGCGTTGCGATCAGCAACGACACAAAACGGTAAACGTTGCTAGAGGCCCAACGAAATGCAATAGACATAGACTTTGCCCGCATTTCACAATTTTCATGAATTTCTCATTGTGACGGCAGGTGAAAGTGCCATTTCAGGTAAGCATAGGTTATTGGACATTTTCAACCTATATCGTGCGTCTTTATGTATATCTGTTTTTGTAGAGCGAGCTATTCCGAAAATGCGCAGATGTCATTTACTTTGAAAAACATGGCCCCAGAATCGAAAACAAAATATTTAGACTAAATATTTAGGGTGCTCCTAGGATATACGTATATTTATCGATAACTGTTCAAGATTTCTTGGAAAACTAACAACAGCTTATGAGTCAACCGCTGTTTGATGTTTTTAGAAGTACCTCCTTGTTTACGTTCGTAATGATAGAAATTTAATTTAGATATCAAGCGATTTAAGAACCGTATGTTAGGTTATGGTATAAGGGCCGATTTACTATACTTTTTTTTCGAATTTATCTCGGTAACATCACATATGAGACAATGCCAACTATATGAATATGATCAGCTTTCATTCTCGCATGCAGTTCTTTTTAATTAGTCATTTAAATATTTGCGTAAATTATATTTTCGCCATGTCATTTTGTCAACAGAAAGCCCTTGTCAGAAATACTCAGCTGCTTGGCATATATAAAGATATAATTGCGCAACCTGCTTGGTGTCCGTCTAACCAACCTTAATTTTGGGTTATAATAGGATAATCAAAAAAATATTTAATTTGTGCATCGATGTGATATCGATATACACTTGTCACTTGTTTTGATATCGTTTACTGCAGTCCACCTGCAGTTGTTCACCCCGCATTCGCTGGTTGACAATCAGATAACGTCTGCTTGGCTCTGGGGCTCTAAAAATAGTCGCTGCCCGTTCTGTATAGTTGTCTTCGTTTCGGCTTTTGTCATAGGTCAGAATTCGACTAGTGCGTAGTTGATCTTAAGATCACAAAGAACAAATTAGCTGGCTGTGCCGTCTGCAGTTGGATGCTGCGCAGCCAACGAATCATTGTCTTCTCGTGAACTTGACGTTGACCGCTGGACTTTTGTTTATTTGTTAAATGCGCGTGGCAATTCAGTCAATCGCCAGTCACTCTCTCAATTACTGTTCGTACGCTCTTACGATCTCACTCGCTGTCTCTCTCGTTTCATTGTTTGGTTCGTTAACCCGTGGAGCAGAAGAACTACGCATCAAGCAAACATACGGGAACTGCTAGAGTATTAACCCAACTGCTCAGCTGAATAAGCGATATGCCGGAAGAGGAGCCAACACAAAAGCCCATGGACGAGCATCAAGAGCAGCCACAGGCCGAACAGATGCCCAGAGATAGCGATGCTAATGCTGAGGAACAGCTGCCGCTGCAGCTGCCGCCACATACCCCGTCTACAGATTTTGTTGTAGCGGAGCTTTCCGCTGAAGAGGCAAGCATCTTTGAAAGCTAAAACAAATCCCATCTGTGTCTTGTCTAACGGTTGCCAAAATTTTGTTCTTTACAGATACGCGCCCGACGGCTGCGCACTTTGGCGGCGCGCAGCAGCGCCCACATTCCCGCTGCCGTACCGTTGGCAACAGAGAAACCAACTGCACGCATCCAAGCAAATACCCCAAGTGAATCGCGTTTGGTGCGCGAGGTGTGCGCCAGTTCGAGCAGCATGGAGACGGGCTCATTGGGCGACAAAGCGCCCATAACATGGTCAGAGCTGGGCAGTAAGTCGGACATGGATGTGGAAATGAAATCGGTGGCTTCGACGCCCATACAGGACGTTGAAATGACATCCGCACATTCCATCTGCGTACCCAGTACCGTGCTGCTCAACTCAGAGCCAAAGACGCAGCCAATCGTATCTAATACGGAGTCATCGCGGCTTAAAAGCGCGGACGAGCGCAACGAACAGCTGCTGTCCAGGCTGCTGAATGCTACATGGAATGAATTCGGATGTGGTTCCATTATTTGTGCACAGACCGCCAGCTTTTTGGAGCAATATCCAGAACTACGCTTTGAGTTTGAGCCGATTGTCACAAGTGTTCTGCTGGAGACGGCATTTAAGTTCTACAACGATGAGGTGGACGACAGCTTTAAAGTGGAGGGCGAGACACCACTTGCCACCGGTCTGAGCGACGCCAATGGTGATGACAAGGAATTCTCGTCGGCCAAAAAGATTAAGAGCGACGACACCGAGGTGCAGGAGATATTAGCTAATGCAGTGGCCTCCAGTGGAGCCGCTGAGGAGGATCAAGGTGCAAGCGCCAGCGCAACGCCCAGCCAGACCGAGATAACACCCAGCGATGCATGTGTTCCCTGTGTGGTGCCGCCTCCCCTGAACATTGTGACAACCTCCAAGCACAATGCCATGCTCCATCTGCTGCGCTGCTATCAAAATTATCAAACCGAGTGCGAAAGATCCAGAGCCAATGAATCATCCAACCAGCCAGTTGATCACAGCACGCAGCAGGCCCTGGCTCTGGCCTTTCGAAACATTATGCGTGTCGCTGTGCTGGTGCTAACGGATCGCATACAACAGAACCTCAATTATCAGCTGGATCAGTCTACGTTGCTGGAGCTTATTTACATGGATCGTGTTAGCGAGTCGTTCCTCGTCGATCTGGTGGCCGAAACGCATCAACAGCGCGAAGTCTTCGACACCATATTCGGGCAATTGTTGCGCGGTCTATTCAGTGGCATGCAGCGAAATATTTGCAGCTCAAAGATCAACACACAGCAAATCGAATGGCTGTCCAAGTTGGTGGTCATTAAAGTGGGCAATGTCCGGCCAATTGCCGATCTGGTTGCCCGCCAACCCAACTATATACCGCCCATATGCACCAAGATACCGGGTCGAGAAATTGTCAAGTGCAGTTTTCTAGGTCCCTTTCTGTCGGTCTCACTATTCGCCGAGGAAAATGTCAAGTTTGCCGAGTTCAGCACCAAAAACAAGCTCGAGGATGCAGCCACATCGCGACTACGTTGGGTAAGCTTTTTGCGCTTAGTCTCCAAATAATAGCAGTTCCCTGTATTTGTATTATTTATCTCATTCAGGAGCTCCACTCGATGCGCTCTCACATGCATACGGTTTTCCACTCGCTGTGCGTCAATGCCAGCAGTCGCCCCCAGACGCTGGAGTACATTGCCCAAATCCTGCGACACAATGATCGTCGCGTGCAATTCGCCAGCGATGAAAAGCTGCTCGCTCGCGATGGCTTTGTTATAAATCTGATGAGCGTGCTGCAGCAGCTGTCGGTCAAGATCAAACTGGATCGCATCGACGCCAATTTCCACTACTACAGCAATTCGCTGGTTAACATTGAGCAGGACACGAAGATCCGTTACAGCGAGGAGGAGTACAAGAGCTTTTTGGCCCGTGATTTCTCAGCGCCAGCGCAGAATGTCAATTTCCAAACGCAGTGCTGGTTCCTTACACTGCAGGCTCATCACCTCGGCTATCTGCCGGCTATTCAGCGCTATCGCCAAAAGGTGCGCGCCATCAAGGAACTGCAGAAGCTAATTGACGAGCTGGATCGCACCAAGCCACATTGGGTTAACTCGCGCTATGCCAATCGCAACAATCAGTTCAAGGAGCGATGGGAGAAGCAACTGCGCAAACTGAATCGGTACGAAACCCAGACCCATATTTTAGGGCTCTACACAAACCTCAAACTGTAGAAATTTAATAACTCCATCCGCAATGTTAGAAAATGTAACACATAGAAGAACCCAATTATATACTTTATAGTATATTTCTGTTCATTATCAACAGCCGACTCAATATAGCCATGTTCATCTGTCTGTTTCTGTCTAAAGTAGTCTACTCATATAGAAGAATCGATTTTTGGCCTAAGACACTTTTAGGCCATATGTATGTTAGGGTACTAAGCCTTCGGCGTGCCGAAGTGGCGGTTATAGACTGCTGTTTAATCGATCAATTGCATATCTATGCAAAAGTTTTGACAAGTTAAAAAGTATTTTCGATGAAATATTTATAGTTTATGGCTGTGATTAATTCATTCAGATTTCTTAGAAGCGGACAGACATGTTTGGACTTACCCCATTGCTATCCGCGAAGTAATTTGATCTCGATCTATTTCCCCTAACAGATCCAAGACATGCAGTGAGATAACGCTTCTAGATCCTGCGCTGCTGCAGCGCTGCACTGAATTTTATTCGACGGTGTGCGAGTTTATGCTTTATCAATTCGAGGGCCGTGCAATTGAGGGTCCCTTCATCTCGAAGCTGCAGGTGCAGCAGCTAAAACCGACTGATGCATTTTCTGCACTGCCCGAGTGGTATATCGATGACATCGCCGAGTTCATATTGTTTGCCATGCAGCACGCCAATGTGGACATCAGGCAGGGTATCGATCATTCGATCATCACATGGCTGTTGACCTGCGTCTGCGCCTCGCATCTTATCAAGAATCCCTATGTAACTGCCAAACTGGTTGAGGTCATGTTTGTCTTCTCCCTGAAGCCAGCCAATTCGGTCAACACAGCGGTCAGTAAATCGACGAGGTATTAAAAGTTGTCACTGAATTGATTGGTCTTTTTGTTTTTCAAACAGATGTGGAATCATGAGCTGGCGCAGAATGCGCTGGTCAGCGCGCTAATGCGATTTTATGTGGATGTGGAGACCACTGGCCAAAGCACTGAGTTTTACGATAAGTTTACTATAAGGTGAGCTGAGCTGCAGCAATCACGTAGAACTTTTCATTGAATTAATTTTATATTTTTAGATACCACATTAGCCATCTGTTCAAATCCATGTGGGAGAATCCCATACACCGGCAGGCTGTCATCTGTGAGTCGCGCCAGGGCAATCAGTTTGTCAAGTTTGTCAATATGCTGATGAACGATACGACATTCTTGCTGGACGAATGCCTGGAGAATCTAAAGCGCATACATCTAACGCAACAGCTGATGTCCGATGCACAGAACTGGAGTGGCATGAGCGCCGAGCAGCAACAGAGTCGGCTCACCCAGCTGGCAACGGATGAGCGGCAATGCCGTTCCTATTTAACGCTGGCGCGTGAGACTGTCGATCTATTTCATTATTTGACTGTGAGTTGTTTAAAGTTGTTTGTGGTTATTTTTGGATTGTTATTGAACTTTTTTGATTTACTGCAGAGCGACATCAAGGAGCCGTTTATGCGCGCCGAGCTGGTCGATCGCCTCAGTTCAATGCTGAACTTTAATTTAAAACAATTGGCTGGGCCCAAGTGCAACGATCTGAAAGTGAAGAATCCAGCCAAATATGGTTGGGAGCCGCGCAGTTTGTTGGCCCAAATCTTTGATATATATCTCCACTTGGACTGTGATAGATTCGCGCAGGCTTTGGCCGCCGACGAGCGCTCATTCGATGTGCATATCTGCAACGAGGCAGCGTCTCGCATTAAACGCCTAGCGCTACGTTCCGGCGTGGAGGTGGAGCGTTTCAAGGCGCTCACACAGCGGGCTCATGAGATTTATGGTAAGAGTCCTTGTTCTTTATAAAGTTTATTTGCTGAAGCAATTGTTTCCCTGCAGTTTCAAATCAACAGACTGAAGATGAGTGTGCCGATGCGCCGGATGAGTTTAAGGATCCGCTTATGGACACCCTTATGTCGGATCCAGTTGTGCTGCCCTCGGGCACGGTAATGGATCGTGCAATTATCACGCGTCATCTGCTCAATAGCTGCACAGATCCGTTCAATCGGCAGCATCTCACCGAGGATATGCTGGTGCCCAATATTGAGCTGAAACAGCGTATCGATGCATGGCGCAAGGAGCAGCGGGGCAAGCGAAACAATAGCTAAGGTGCCGCCAGATCCTGAACCATAATCTACAAACTAACGTAGCTTAATGTGCAGTTTTAGTGTCTACCTATATCTCTATGCAAATATTATTATAATTATTATATATGTATATGCGCTTAAACAGCTGCTAGAATTTAGTTCACTTTTTTGTTTTTCACTTGGGGTAGTCGCAGTCGCAGTTCTCAAGATTCTCAAGTTCATCACATTACAAAAATATTCTTGTTTTCAGATTTCTCAAAACTTATGTATATGTTAAAAATGCAATAATTTTAATTATTAAAGTACATATTGTATATTGCTTAATTGATTGTTTTTGTATAATTTCAACTTTAAAAAAAAAAAACAACGCGGTTTCTGTATAAATTCACGTTCACAAATACTTCAGTTATTATAATAAATATATTTTTTGTAATTTCAATTTAACGTTTGGTGGTTTACGCTCTTCCATTGAGCCCGATTTCGGGGTGGGTTTTTTTCGGAACGAGCTACGACTACTCCAAGTGTTAGGTGCCACAGCTTGGCTCGTGCTTAACAAAATTTGGAATTTAATTGCAACTGGAATTTACAATAAAGTTTTAATGAAGCGCGTATTGCTAATATAAATTATACATATACATAAATGTGTTAGTGTGTGTGTGTGTGTGTGTTTTAATCGTAACCGTGTAACTGCATATTTATTTGTTTTATTCGCTCAGTCTCAGATGGATGCATGGCCTGGAGATTGATGGGGCAGCTGGTGGCAGGTGGGTCATATTACCAGAAGGGACACCAGCCAATATAACACTGGCAGAGGTTCTCATTGTTCGTCGCCTGCTGTATGAGCAGCTCCACCTGCTGCTGCTCCGTCATCTCGGTCATTTGGAAATCTGTGCCGGTTAGCTTCCGATTGACACGCTGTATAACCATGCTGGCCTTGCTGTTGGTCACATCCGCCACATTGGTGTAGCCCGCATGCAGCTGTTGTGCCTCGTATGTCTTGGACTTGGCTAGCGGATTGCCCTGCAGCAGTGACTCCTGCTCAATGGAGTTGCTTGGACTGCCGCCGCTGGCACCTGCAGCAGTTGTTGCTGTTGTATCATTGGCCTTCTTGTCCACATCGAGCAGACGCCAATTGAGCAGCGGATCGTACACGAATGCCTCCAGTACGGCCATCAGCGAATCCTTGTTGCGACGCAGCACCAGCATAACGCTCTCGCAGGTGCGCCGATAGGTGCCCTCAATGCCGGTGACCTCCATGGCCTTGATGAGCATTCGTGTCAGCCGGAAGGGTATCTTCTCGGGAAACTTTTCGCGAGTCATCGCCACCTCGAAGCAATCACCAAAATCAATATGCAGTATCTTGCCACTCATACGATCCAACATCAGATTTGAGGGATGACGATCACCCAGGCCGAGTATATAGCCCACCATGGACATGACCGCCAGCGAGCGTGTGTAATTGTTGCGCCGCTCGAACCACAGCTCCGACGAGGGCGACTTCAGCCACAACAATTTGGCCAGATCATCGCCCTGGGTCTGACCGAGAGCATATTCGAACACCTCCACCTTTTGCATAAGCGTCAGATGATCATAGTCGGGCGCATAGTTCAGCATGGTGCGATGCTCCTGATTGAGCGGCACCTTCTTCTTTTCGCGGTAGTCCCGGATGAGCGTGTGCAGCGTATCACAGTGCGGCACCCAGCCAATCAGTCCGGAGTTGGTGCTCAACGGTATGACGGCATAGCGCTGGATGGCCAGATTGCGACGGAACGTGTCGGGATCGTCGAGCAGGAGCGTATTGACCAGCGAAAAGAGCTGCATGACGCGCTCATCCTGCCGCAGATCCTCGTGACCCTTCAGCAAGTACATATAGTCCTTGCCGTTGGAGCCGCGTATGCATAGTTTGCGCGGTCGCTGCTTGGACGTGATCACCTGCAGATTGGTCTTGATGTGGTTGATGCGTATTAGCTCCTGGCCGGGATTGTAGGAGCCCGGCACGGCCAGTTCCAGATTCTTGCAGGTCATCAACTTAGGCGACACATAAGGCAGCTCCAGCGATGTCAGCTGTGGCAGCTGGCGGGATATCTTCTGAAACACATGATAGTATATATCCCAGGCACGATCCAAGTCCATGAGCACAGCCGACGTCTTATAGCGCTGCGTCCACTCATACGCCTCGGTCAGCTCACGGCCGTAGGCCTGCGAGAAGGAGGTCTCCTTGAGCGTCTGTGGGCCGCGGTCCAGCATGGCGTGCAACGGCTCCAGAATCTCGAACATGCCCTTGACATTGCGATCCCCGAAGTAGAGACGTGAAGCCTCCTCCAGGCCCTCGTGCCACTGCTCGTGCCAGAGTATGGCCACGCGTATCAGCTCCTCGCTGCACATGACCGCCTGCTCGACCAGCGTGGGCGAGTGCTTGCGCATCGAGTCGAGTATCTTGAAGGCGGCATTTTTGCGCGCCAGCGATGCGGACTTGGAGGCCACGGTCAGCGGATAGACGAGCGCCTGCGGATGATTCTTGCCAATGTCCATGAGCAGTTGATGGATTAGCTGACCCACCAGCTTACGATGCGTATCGATGCGGGCAATCAGCTGTGGTATCACCTGCAGCCAGGTGTTAATCTCAATCATTTTCATGCCCGAGAACAAAGCCTCATAGACTTCCGCATGGTGTCCATAGTCGAACCAGAGCGTCAGCAGACGCAGCGTATCCTGCAGCGAATTGCCACGGATTAGGCTAATGGAGCGGAAGAAGCCCTGCACCGCAGGCACCGCATACTGTTGTATGATCAGATGCTCACTGTCCAGTCCCAAGCCCATGGATGCGGGCGATTGTTGGCGTTGATTTTCGAGTGCCTGCTTTTGGGATTGCACCACCTTAAAGTTCATGTAGGCCCACAAATGCCACGCCTTGTACCAGTTGGGATCATAGTTGGTGGCCTTCTCAAAGCACTCCAGAGCGCCCTGCACCGCATCCGGATTGGGTCTGTTCTCGTGCAGCTTGTTCTGCCAGGTGGCCAGCCGCAAATAGCAGCGCGCCATCAGGCGCTGATCCTGCTGCTTCAGTGCCTCCGACGGCAGGCAGCTCAACTGCGTGCTGTACGTGTTGACGAAGTCCCGCAGCTGCTTGTACGCCAGCTGTGGCTGCGAGGAGGCGGCCAGATATTTGGTATAGGCATAGGTGACCTGCGGCTGGTTGCACGGCAGCGGCTCGTCTGGCGCAAGCGCTGGATCCGTGCCCAGCAGCATGACCAGCGTCTTGTGCGACAAGTACAGAGAGCCGCTCTTCCTGCACAAGCTGGCATACTTAAGCCAGGTGTGTATATACTCGTGCGGCTTCACAACCAGCGAGTGCACCTGGATAATGCGGCGCCAATCCTCAACCAAACGCTGTCCGCCCTGCAGACGCTTCCACCACATAGCCTTGAGCGGTTCGCGTCGTTCCGGTATCAGCTTGTACTGTATAACCTCCTCCAGTTCGGCCAGCATCTGAACGCAGACCATGGCGCCATAGGCACGCTCGTAGGACTCGCCAGCCATGGAGGTCAGCTCGGTGTCCAGCAGGTCGCGGGTCTCATCAATTAAACGCTGGGCCGTCTCAAAGTCATCGTGATGCACGGCGAGCACAGCGCGATAGAAGCTGCCGTCCTGTGTGTCCACGGGTATGCAGCGCACGTATTCCTGCATGCCATCCCAATCCTTGAGGCCCCAGGCGGCAACGGCAGCCAATGGGCTGGCGCGCGACTTGGCCTCCGTGCTAAAGTTGGGCCATTCCTCTTTGCATCTGGTGCTCAGCTGGGACCAATCGCCGAGCGCCTCCAGGCAGCGCATATGTCCGAGACGCGCATCCAGATCATTGGGATCGGCATTCAGATTAAGCTGATAGTGATGCAGTGCCTGATCCCAGTTGTGCAGCTTCTCGTACCAGCGTCCGTGGACGCTGCCCTCGCTCGCCGTGTTCCGGTAGGTGGTGAGCAGACCTTCGGCGGCTTCGCGCTGCTGCAGCTTGTTGTTGATATGAATGAGTGACTCGAAGACATGCGCCTCCTGGCGTGGCACAAACTCCTCCTCCTTGTAGCGCAACGCCTTGGCATACGCTCGACACGCCATGGCATGTGTGCCCAGCAGCTGTGTCTCAATGGGTATGGGATCACGATCGCAGTGCTCCATAAACTCGGCCAGATTGAGTATGGTCTGTGTGATCTCGGGCATGTCCGTGACCTGCAGCGCCTGTATCAAAGACTGGGTTAGCTCGTGCCTGTGCTCAGGCGAGAGTTCAGTCCAGCATGAGATGAAGGCCGCATTAAACAAATCCCGCAAAAGTGTATCATAGTCCTGGGCCAGCACACAACAGGCGCGCAAGGCATGCGATGGCGACTCCTTGAGCAAGCCTATGGACAGACGCTTCAGCCACTCTACCCAGTCGTCCTTTGAGACGCGCCGCGTCACCTGCCAGGCGGTGCGCAGCGCGTTCGTGGACACCTTAAGATTCTTGCTGCTGCTGTTGCTGTCCAGCACAAAGGGCTCATTGTATTTGGGCTTCGCCTGGCGCTGGCCAAAGTCGCCGCCAATGCCAACGCCAATGCCGCAGCCATCCGCCAAGGTGCTGTTGGATTGAATGCGGGCGAGCAGCTTCTCGTATTCGGCGTCCACGATGCGATGCTTGTTAATGGTGCGCTGCACCATGGGCACAAACACCAGATACTTTTTGCCCAGCTGCTTGACCAGGGAGCGCAGCGTGGTCATTGCCTGTTCGCGCAGCTCCGGCTCCGTTTCCAGTACACGCACCAACGGATGTATAATGCGCGAGGAGAAGTCCGTAAAATCCAGCTGGCTAGCCAAGCTGTTTATCGTCTCCAGCGCCACCAGGGACACCTGCTGAGGCACATACGGCGAGTCAAAGAACTTGACAATGGGCGGCACAATCAGCGGCAAATAGTAGCCCAGGGTGCTGCCAAATTTCTGCAGCGCCTGCAGCAGTCGCCGTGTAACCATCCGATCCTTGGAGTTGTCATGCTGCAGTACACGCAGAATTTGCGGTATGAGCTGCGCCAGATAATCCCGAAATTCGCAGCCGAGGGCAACGGCAATCTGTTCGATCAGATTGATGAGCGTGGAGTGAAGCGGCGTATTGATGGTCCAGAATTCCTTGATCAGCTTGAAGATGTCATCCATGTAGCTGATGATGTGCAGCTTGACAAAGGCCACCAGAATGGCCAGCTGCTGGAAGAGGAACTCGCGCAGATTATTGTCCGCGGTGCGCACATTGTCCAGCAGATTGGGCAGCACCTGTGCCAGATACGGCACACACTTGATGCCCAGCGTGTGAAAGATGAAGGTGACAGCC